GTCGTTCTGTTCGGTTCGCCGGTTTATGGTGTAAATGTCGTGGATAAGTCGTTGGTATTGTGTCAATAGGATGTTAACACCTGCTATCTATTAACATTAGAGTAATGCAGTTAAATCGAACCCTGAGAAAGAGAATTAACGAATTGAGGGTCGCACATAATCGAGATTGCACTAGTTTGATTTCAATGTGCTAATCAATTTTTATTTTTATTTCGGTTTTCATTTTACGACATATCATTCGAAAATTGATTTAACCAAACTAACCTTAAAATGAAACATCTTTCTCTACCTATTCTGTTTACTAATACGAAGCTGTCGATATTTGCTAATCCTAGCCGTAAACAGGGCGCGTATCAAGTGAACTGTAATGGCGTAGCTCGCCATAAAGTTCCCCGAAGATCAGAGGATGAGTATCAGAATGCGTAGGTCTGAGTTTCGATTCATCGTGGTGACGAGACGAAAACGGCATAATTATAAGTTTTAAATTAACTGTGTTAAGATCATCCTAAGAAATGATTCGGGTGAAAGAATATCTAAAAAGGCCAGAAAGAAGGGACAGTTAAAAGATTTAATATAATTTAGATATTCCTTGACCCTTTCGAATTTAGCTTTTAATGAGGGATGATAAAAATTCAGTTCGCGAGGAAGCTCTTGTGGGAGTTTTATTAGCAAACCTGGATTATAAGAACATCAATTAGAAACAAAAAGTTAGATACGTTTCCTATAATGGAAATTTTGTCAAACAAGTGAGTAAAATTTAAAAGTCCCTTAAACTCTGGTTTACAGATTTAATGAATGTAACCGAGGAAGGTACAGTTCATAGACCCAACGTTCAGGGGTGATCTAAACGCCTGGTTAGTTAGGCATGTGTGCTCCGATAAAGCTGAATTTTCTCTTTTGCAAAAGAAAACCGTTTTTTATGTCTAGGACAGCCCAAACATCAGTTTGGTACACGTTTGAAAGAGTATCAAAAAGCGGTTTTCTTTTGGGATAATTTTGAAATTATCACCACGTATTGGCGTTACTACCAGCGCCTTTGTTTGGAAGCTGGGCATATTAACTCCGCCCATGCTCCGTTAAGTCGTGATAATGGCGGCTTACTTCCTGACGCCTATTTACACCTCGTCAATTAGTCAGCTAGTGATCATATAAAAGGACCTGTTGTTACAGCGTTTAGATCACCCCTGATGAAGGCATTAGACAGGAGTGTCGAAACGTTGGGTCTATGAATTGTAACTTCTTCGGTTACATTCATTGAACTAAATTCTATCTATGAGAGGCAACCTAAGAGAGCAAGAAAATTAAAAATGTTAAGATTACAGCTCCCTCACCTTTCCTGTGGATTTGACACCTTTGAAAACACAGAGGTAACAGATAATCCAAGCCAACAAGAGACACAAAGCTACATCCCAGTTTACTATGCCGGGTTCATCCAAAGCAGTGCTCAGCTTTAAAACTCTATGTCTAGAAAGAGAGGTAAGTAGTGTAATTGGAAATCATCTCGGTACTCGGTTGACTTATGAACTTGCCTACAAGATATATTTGTTAAATTGTTCAAATCGTTGACAGCCTGCATAAAAATAATAATAGTTTTCTTCCCTGTCCAAATGAATGACCGACTGACTGACTAACCAACTAACCCACCGGCTGACTAATCGACTGACTGACTGACTAACCCACTGACCAACTGACCAACTGACCAACTGACCAACAGACTGACTAGCTGACTGACTGACTGACCGCCTAACTGATAAACTGACTGACCGGCTGACCAACTGACCGGCTGGTTGGCTAACTGACTGACTGACCAACTGACCGTCTGACCAATAGACTGACTGAACAACTGACCGACAGGCTGACTGACTGACCAAATAACCGACTGACTGACTGACTAATCTTCCAACTCACCGACCCGCTGATTTACTACATGAATGACTCACCGACTCACCAACTGCCCGATAATCAAGAGCTTCCTTAGTTTGTGATCAATTTTTAATTCTCGTGACCTTAATGTTTGAGTCAGGGGTGATAAGTCACTCTTAAAGGTCAAAGGGTTAATACTTAACTACTTTACAGCTTCACTTACTCAAAATACTCCTCACTCGCAGACACTTTAGCTGCCTTTGCCACTGCAGTTGGCACTGTTGACATGTTCGACATGTTCGCCATTACGGTTGGTATGACTGTAGTATTGGCTATACTGGAGCCTTTTTCAGATGTGATATAGTCAACACAATTCGGTGTGTTCCATTCATTGCCACAGCGAGACCAAGGAAGCTTGGATTGGAAAGACGCGAACATGTAAAACAGAGCCCACCCGAGGATGACGATGTAATATATGTTTAAAAACTGAACGATGATAACACTTGCCCATCCAATGCCTGCAATGAAATCAAAATTCAACT